ACACCTCGAACGGTTCCCCGTAAGTGCTCGTGCTACGTGTGTATTATTTACCTGTGATTTGTTTTTGAACTATGTTAGACTCATTAGAGCATTGTCTTTTTTTATGATTATCTTTTGAAATACATCTTTTTTTGGAAATACGAAAAACAAACATCGTATCTAAACAAAATGCCGAAGCTCGTAGAAAACTTGTAACCTGCCCAGCTTCGCTGTGGGCCTTTTTCTACGGAAAAAAAAATTCCAAGTCATGACTTGGAAAACCCCGAGACTTGACTTCACTTGACTTGAGAAAATTTGTTATTACTCATGACTTGACTTGACTTGTGACTTGGAAAATCCGTGACTTGCCCAGCTCTGTAGCGCTGAGACATGTTTTAAGATGAGCGTAGCAGTTTTTTCTTCAAGTTAAGGCGTACCGCAACTGTCTGTGTCGTTTGGTTGACGACTTATGAACAAAACAAAATTATAAAAAAACGTTACAGAATTCCTTCACCGTGGCAACGTTAGTTAGCCACGTCGAGCAGTTGAAACCGACCAAAATGTTTTCGGCCAGTATTGGCCATGAACTATCTGATTCGTTCTTAGGTTTTTAGCAAAGTGTCTGTGAAACGTGTCAGAAACATTCCATTTGAAGAGAGAACTCTCCAAATATGTAGCTCAGAAACGATTTTAGTGGAAGAATTTGAAGCAAAAAAGTGGAAATAAAAACCGAAAAAGTGTACTCTTCCAACGAGACCTTCTGTTCTGGATTTTACGTTATACTTAATAAAGGTCTTATATTATGGGAATGTCTATATGATACTTATGCAGTTTATATCGGACACCAATCTTTTCTGAAAATACTCAGCTTCCGCTTATTCTATCTCGGAATAATGGATTGGATATGGAATTACTTCTCTTTCAATCTAAACCAGGCAAGCTTCTCTCTGCCGTGGACTAAAATAATTTTCTAAATATGTTAAAGTTAAATAGAATACCTACAGTAATATTGGCTAATGTATTCATAATAATTAGATCTTTGGCTACATCGAATGCATTCCAATCCATAGCTAAGTCTAGTAATTGATTGTTTTGTAAACTTTTATGTTGTTTGAATTTATTTTCGTCCTGTTGTTGTAAACGTTGTCTTTCATCTGTATGTAGTCCATGATCTAATCGAGATTCACGAAATTTAAGTTTTTCTGTTCGTTGTATATGTAATTTATCTAAATATTTTTGCCGTGCTATAAGAAGTAAAATTAATCGTAACTCTTGTATAGTTATCGATTTAGACTGTACCTACATTTACAAATACTTCTAAAAACTGTATCAGATAAATCTTGATCAGTATTTAAATTATAGATTGTTATATTTCCTCTAACAGCTGGTTGTAAACAATACATAACATGCAAAAGAACATCTTGAACTTTTTTATCTATTTGTTCACTTCGTTGTTCTTTGGATAATACATCATCATCACTTGATACAATCAATTTTAATCCATTCATAATTTGTGTTTCATGGTCCTTGAATTTTTTTCTTAACCTGGTCAATAAATCAACAGTGAGATATACTGTACTTCTAGAATCAGATGCTATAAATTTACTTTTCACGATCAATGTTCAAATGATATTCGGTTATATCTGGTAACCTTTAAAAGTGTACATAATTATTACTCTCGTGTTTTCGCAAAAAAAGATATAAACTTACTTATTTCTCTCTTGTTCTTCTTGACTATTTTCACTAGTTGTTGTTTGTTGTTGCGGTAATTTTGATGTACGACGTTGATCAATTTTAGACAGTCTTCTTGGTTTAACTGATTTTATTTCCTCTAATTCACCAATATCAATTGGTAATGTCCATTCTGGATCTTGTTCTAAGTTGTCCATTTCTTTTGTATAAGTTAACCAGAGAGAAAAAAAATCAGCTACTCTTCCACTTCCCTGTAAATAGATGACAAAATACGCGATTCAGTAAATGAAAACAACAGAAATCATACATCGATAAGTGATATCATGTATGAAAGATCATGTTAATTATAATTGTATTTTAAAAAACCTCTTTCTTTTATTAAAACGTAAAAGTATGTGACGTTTCGATCATAAGGTGATCTTCGTCGGATGGCCAATAATGACAATAAAACATAAAAGTAAAAATTGTTAGAACTGTTTATATATACATTAGACTCATCGTATACTTTATTCAGTTCTATATTCTAGATATATATGTAGATAGTGGAACGAAAATACAAGACAAAGATAGTGAAAGGAAAAGGAATTACCTGTCACGGTATATTCTCCTCTTCTTCTGTTCCACTATATATTATAGCAATTTTTACTTTTACAGTTTATTGTTCCTTTTAATCTTCTAACGAAGATCTTCGTATGATTTTTACGTCACATATTTTCAGGTTTAATAAAACGAAGAGTTTTTTTAAAATACAATTATAATCATACTTCAATAATGACAATAGGTATATCACGACGTAAATCATAATAAATATTTTTTATTGTATCACGACCACCTTCAACAACGATTGTCACTACTGGAACTAAAAAAGAAACAGAATTAATCTATATTAAACATATTTCTCCATGGCTGACACCTCTATACCTGGTAAACCTTTCATACTTCTGCCATTAGCTATAGCAATTGCTAATCGTGTTCGATAATCCTTGATATCATATCGTCTTAGAGTACCATCATCCAATAAAAAATAATGCGTATGGTGCATTTCTAAATCTCTTTCACCATGACGTTTTTCTTGTACACCATTTGTTTCATGTCTTTGGTCGTTTAATTCAACAATTCTCTTAATAAACAAACATCCAGTTAATAAGGTGCTTCAAATTCGAAAAGTAAGCAAAAATATAGATTTCTTTCAAATATACATGGATGGATAGAGCTCGTCGAGCTGATTCCGAATATAGCCTTTTCATCAAGTTTTAACCACGTTTGGAGGGGGAGGGGAAATCGTCAAAAAAACTATCGTTTCTCCGCTGAAAAAAATCATCATCAGTGTAGCAAAGTGGGAATTCTGCCCGTAATTCTCAATTTTCTCCAACAAAACCCAACTTCTGTGTAATAAAAAGATCATATTCAGAATCAGGATCAAAAAACAAATCTACTTATGTACATCCCCAACTCGTTCAAGTGATTTAATTTTTTTCGAATTTTGACGTTGAAAAATCACCGAGACCTTCACCAAAAAATAAAAATCAACTAAAACCTTCAAAATACACATCAGTAGATTTGTTATTTGATCTTGATTCTGAATATGATACTTTTATTACATAGAAGTTGGGTTTTGTTGGAGAAAATTGAGAATTACGAGCAGAATTCCGACTTTGCTAATCTTGACTTTTCTCTATAACGGTCATTTATTCACTTTTTCCGACTCCTGTGGTATTTTGAACATTTCTCCCCCAAAACGTGATAAAAACTCGATGAAAAGGCTATATTTGGAACGACGAGCTCTATCCAACCATGTGTATTTGAAGGAAATCTATATTTTTGTTTACCTCTCGAATTATAGCGTCGGCGCTAAGAGTAGCACTTTACCGTTCCTTTCCGGAGTATCGGTAAACTGGTATCTTTTATTTTCAAAAGTAAAGCGTAACGATATAATGCAAAGCTTTTCTTTCCTTAGAGAAAGGAAAGTGGCATCTTTTATTTTCCAGAAAAAAGAAATGTGATATTTTTTTCT